TCTTGAACACTTTGCCGATATGGGCGTTCTCTTTCTCCACATCGTCAAGTGTTGGGGCATTGCCTTTCTCTATTCGCTCTAAGCGGTGTCTCCTCATTCTTGCACGAGCTGGAGCATCAGGAGCGAGGTGAGCTTTTGCCTTGCGGTTCTTTCGGAATGCGCCTATACCTTCGCCCTCTGTATAGACAATAGGCTGGAAGGCATCTCCGATAGCAGACACGCCATAAGCACCAGTAGCAAAGTCATATCCGATACCTGCAATACGGCTGTCCGAGTTCACATAATCGCCAGTATCGACAAGGTTTGCAATCTCACAGATCAAATCATTTGTCATGCCTATTGCTCCATCGTACTGCACGATAACAGGATCGTCCGAGCCTATACCTGCGATGCGCTGAATAGAATCTCTTTCGTTCTGCAAACCTTGACGAATAAGTCTAATCTCTATTTCAATATCGCTCATGCGGTTCATGGGACGACCATTGAATAAAGATCCCTTCTTAATCTTCTTTATCTCTTGTTTTTTGGGGACATCCCCTATTGCTGAAATTCTTGTCATATCTATGTATGTATTATTGTAATTTGGGAGTTTCTCGGCATCGAACTTCTTCATGTTGCAGTCAAGAACTATTCTCTTATCGGATAGAAAAGCCTCGATAAAAACATGCCTTACTTCGTCGCCCTCTCTCCAGCTTACGAACTTGAAGCGGTGGGGAATGCCAACATTCGACAGCACCGACGAAATAAAGAGAGAATAACTCTTGCAGTCTGCCCCGAGTTCCGAAGCATGGACAAGCACCGAAGGTTTCTTAATGTTCTGAACACCTAACGGATCTATAACCAAAGGCACACGATCCACGAGAAAGGAGTATAGCGTGCGCAACATTTCCCCTTTGTCATTATGGCAAGCAGACAGCAACGCCTGAGAAAACTCAGCTGTCTGTCGCACAGAAGAGGGCAAGCATAACTTTATGGCTTTGATTATATCCTTTGTTCCTCCGTCCTTCAGGTACTCGACACGGGACGAAGTATCTGGAACAAGCCTTTTAGCCAACAACAGAACTTCCTGACTTTCCATTATAGAGTAATCTTTTTGTCGAATGAGAAAGGAAGAGTGTTGCCGTTACTTATCATATCACCGCTAATAGTGAGGTTAAGAGTTTGCCCAGTAACAAGGGAAAGAAGACTTTTTACTGTATCGACAATCTCGCACTTTATCTCTATATCGTTAATCAATGTAACTGCCCCTTTGCCAGGGCAGACCCATTTGTCAACCTTAGGTAACTTATTGAAAGTACCTATCAAAGAGCCGTTTTCGAGAACTTTGCCGGAGATGTTGTTAAAGACTACATCACCGCTTCCAGTGTTCACGATACGCAAGGATAGACGCAAGATGAGTTGTCCGCTCTTGAAAGAGTGTACCTTCAGACTATAGAGAGAAAGGGAAAGATCCGTAAGACCTTTGGCTGTCTTTCCGTACGAAATGGCAATCATTGCGACTGCTCCGATTATTGTGTAGAGTAAAATATTTTGCATCACTTATCATGTTTTCGATTGTGATACAAAGATAATAAATAAGGTTTAAATGGTTGAAACTTAAAGGAATAGAGGGAAACTTAGGAAACAAAACAAAAGGAAGCAATCTTTTAGACTGCTTCCTCAGTAGGTTATACCTCGAACAAAGGCTTGAAATATTCGTCTGGTGTTGTCAGGAGAAAATTGACACTTACCATTTTTGATAAACGGAGGAAAAGAAAGAAGTAAACTCCACTTTATTATTCCCCGATACTTGAACGGAAACTCCATCCGACACTTTATAGACTTTGTCTCCTACCCTTATGCCGTCAATGTTGTGCAATGTCTCGCCAGGAAGGCACTTCTTAATCTGACCCGAAACTTCATCAAGGCAATAAATAATTTCATCAGAGCGGTTGGTTACACTAGACTGACCAAAGCAAAGCCAAGCGAAACCACAAAGGGATGTTACCTGCCAGGCAATCTTTTGAATATTGTTGAAGTTGTTTATTTCCAGTGCAGAACATTGTTCCAGAAATAAGTAAAGAAGTAATAGCAGCTGCCTGCGTAACCTTTCCCATGTCAGCGGGAATAACTTTTAGTTTATCTTTGAATCCTCCCATAATATCTATATTAAAAAACAAACGGCTTGCTCGCTGTTGATCAGTCTATTTTTACGCCTTTTCACTGTATTAGATGCAGAGGCACGCACCAGCATTCACGCACTAACACGAGCAAGGGACTCCGTTCTTCAATCTTAATGCCACATTTAGTTATAACTCATAATACTTTAAAAATTCCTCAACGGTAACGATTTTAGGCTTTGGCTTGTCCAAGACTATTCTTAAATGCTGAATCATCTTTGCAGCTTTGGATTTAGAGACATTGATTATAGCCTGTACTTCCTTTATCGTTAATACCCGTTGCATATTATATTATAGTAAACGAGCGCAAGATATAGCATAGTTTTGACACTTCAAAGCAAAATGCAATATTTTTTTGAAAAAAGATTTGTGCTGTGATTGTGCGCAAACTTAGCGAAAAAAGTGTTACATGCGTTACATTGCTACATTTGGGGTATTATATAGTTGTATTTCAGTGTTTTAAAAACGTAACACATAGCGTAACAGGGCGTAACACCCTGTAACGCATGTAACAGTTGTGTAACACAAGTGTTACGCTTTATCTTTTTTATTTTCAACAACTTAATAGAAATGTAACAGTTGTAACGCTTTTTTTGAACTTTAAAAATTTTGTCTAAAGAGTTCAAAGGATAATCACATCGCTTTCTACATTTTTCCTTCCCCTCACCAACATTCTGGAAGCCGAAAGAACATCTTGCAAAACGGCTCCGAGAAAAACAAAAGCCCCTCCGACACTTTTCGGAAGGGCTTCCAGAAAACTTTCAAGGCTTCTGTCGAACGTGTTCTTGTGTCCTGCTGAGTTTTGCTCCCTTTCTCCTCTTGTCATTTCGAACTCATGAGCGATTTATGCCCGAAAGACAAAAGAGGACAGGCTTTTGGTCATTCTATGATTACTTCCGCAAGGGAAGTCGTTTTTTTGCACACACACAAAAAAAAAGCGGACTTTCACAAGCCCGCTACTTTAACAAAGAACCATGATAAAAAAATAGGATATTTTTTACATCGTACTGAGTGAGGGAGTCGCACCCCCTGGCCTTCCCGAGGCTTCCAGACTTCCCGAGGCTTCCAGCCTTCCTACGCAAAGTCTGAATCATAGACAGCCACTACTCATTGTCTCGTTACTCAGTGTGTAAAGAGCCTACTTTCACAAGCGGACTCCTTGTTAATATATCATGTACAGCATTAAAAGTTTCACTTTTTTCGATTGCATATTAGAATAAAGAAACAGACCAATTAACACGGGCAATGATCACCAACACCCTAGGATAATCGCTCAAAGTGTAGGAATTAATCCATACATCACTAACTAACAAAACACGTTCATCATGTACTGCACACCAACCACGCCAAAATTTAGCTACCATATTACAAATTATTAAATGTTATAAAAAATCTTTTCTGTTGAACACACATACGGCCTACCGACAAAGGCCTTTGCTCTGGTTGTCATCGTGTCGCTTTCTTCGTAGGTCAGTTCCTTAACAAAGAACTTGAAACGACAACTCTTGGTTTTCCCTGAAGCATCCCTTTTCTTTTCTGCCCCAAGGTTCTCTCGGCAAATCCTGTCTATCTCCTTTTCGTATGGAGCAAGACCAGGCACCCAATGCTTCAGTCTTTCCTTGTCTATCTCCAGTACATCCTCGTCGTCGAAGTCTCGAAGTATTCAGTGATCCAAGTTCTGAGGAGTTTCTCAGCTGGGCGCATCTGTTCGTTAGCCAGGTTCTCGAAAGCCTCCGTTCTGATGAGCTTCTCGTCAAAGAAAGTCTTGTCGTATTCTCTACCGAGAAAGAACGGTTACGGAGGAAGTCGAGGAAGTGCGGAAGTTCCTCTGTCATTCTTTGCAGTATGTTGATGTCCTCTTTGTCAGCCAGTGTAGGCACTTTCCTAACCCAGAAATCTTGTCTCCTCTTTTGTGGTATAGATAAACCTTGTTTCCGTCGTTGGAGCAAAGGATGTACTTTGCAAAATGGTCCACCTCTATTTGGTTCTTTCCCTTACCATTGGCAACGAGCTCCTTGCAGTAGAAGCATCTTGATTTTCTCTGTCGTCTTAGCATTGTCAGCCAGAGAGGTCTCATCGACCGCAACAATAAGCTTCGTAGCTATAAACTCGTTGAATTCACTCTGTATGTCAGCGTTTCCGCAGATTATGGCGGTTAGAGCGAAATATCAGTTTAAGGAAGTTAAGGAAAGTACTCTTTCCTGTCTTTCTCTCTCTGCTGACCAGACACAGAACGGGAAGCGGTTGTGTAGGGTGTTCGTACAGGTTCTTGAGGTAGTCAAGCCCGAGTTCGTACTTGCTCCCCGAAAATATGTCTGATAAACTTTGATGTATGATAGAAGCTTCCCGGTTCTGTGCTGTGGTTGACTTCTGCATAAAGGTTTGTATCTGTGGTTTCGGACCTTCTGCCAAGTGATATTGTCAGGATAGTTTATGAAACCGTTGTATATGACAATTCTCTTCAGAGCCTCTTTGCCGTAGTCGTCAATAATGGTTGACTTCTTCCACGAGACAAGTTCCTTTCTACTTCATCCGTCCCCCAGTATAGGCTTGTCTATTAGTCTGTAGTAGTCCGTGCCTACTCTCATGTATTCCTGAAGGTCTCTGCTCTCTACCAGAATAAGACGCTTTGTCCCGTCCTTGTTCGTCTCGCATTTATAGGTGCTGCCATAATAGACAAACTCACGATCTGCAATGATTATATCCCAAGCCTGATAGAAATGCTCAGCACTCTTGAGGTTGAAAAAGATTCTTGAGTCTGTCCGTGTCCTTGCCTCTGGTAACACGCATCTTGTCGAAGTACTTGCTTATCCCACCACCCACATGTAAGAGGTCTTCCCTTAATCCTCCTCCTTTCCCTTAAGTTGTACAAGTAGGTCATCAAGTCCCTTGGGCTCTCCTTCAATCTCAGAGCTCTTGATGTAAGAGAAATATACATCTACATCGAAATCCCTCATCAGGTCAATGATCTTGAGCATAGAGTTATAGAAGCCAGCTGGACGAGTAGCAAGGTCAACACTTTAGCCCACTGCCTTCATAGATATGTTCAGGCAGTCTCCGTCATACAGCATGATAACATTTTGACACGGCAAGTAGTTATAAGCTTTGCTATGTCCGTGTGCAGTTTCTTAGTCTTGTCTGTGGCCGTGGTGATTCCAGCAAGACCGACAACCGGGTATTCCGTGCTTGTTAGCCTTGAAAGCCTTGAAGTAGCCTTCTGTAAGCACAAGAGTAGTAATCTGCTCCGCTTTCTCGTACTTTGTAATGATATTGTCGTGAAAGAAAGGAACAGTACCTTGACCTTTAGGATGTATGTATTTTGGAATCTCTGGATCTTTCTCTCCTCTTGCTTTGGCTTCCTCCTGCATCTTCTTGATGTTGTCAG